ACAAGCAGATTGTGGGGTAGAATTTTGGGTGTATTCGAATCCCACTTGCTTCAACATCAATAATTCCACATCCCACCTCAGGTACTGGAGTAAAAATGCTAAAGCTATCTCTGTATCAGGCTGTGGAGACCCATAGGGTTGTGAGGCATCGAGGCACCCAAATGTTTCTAGACAATCGGCTCACAGATGGCGGTGATGTTGTCAGCGTTACACGCTGCCTGCAGCTACTGGGCTACACCGAGGGAAAGGCATGTGTTATTATTTTAGGTATTGTGTGTGGGAAGAGAGATTAAATATGATTACGTGACCAGCGCTTGTGTGTATTTCGAGTGACAAGCCTGTGATACTAATGCTGGCCTATGTTGAGTTAGCAGTAACTTCGAGGGCGATATTACAGCAGCAGAAAGTAATATAATTTTAGGGCTGGTACGAAACAGCTACAGTTCATGAAAAAAAAGTTGATGCGGAAGTTTCGAATTGAGTTTAAAGATAATTTCAAGGTAATTCATTGTTACATGAATCTTTGTTGCCATGATTATTAAGGTGTCTGGAAGAAAGATGCGAGAAATATACGAGTACGTATGTACTCGTAGTCCGTTTTTCTCCTAAGTGATAGAGTTAATTTCAAGGCTCGTACGGATTCCTGCTGAAGCACCCACGGTATATGTGTCGATCTGTATGATCGACGCTTGGGCGTTAGACCAATGTTAACATGAAAATTTTGCTGTAATGTAACCCCCCAGTGTTATATCAAATTTGTACTCTTAATATAGTTCTTTCAACGTTAATGTAAAAATTGCGATCATATACCGTAAAGCATCAACTTAATTACTTTCATCTGCCCATAACAAAGTGTATTTCTTAGTCCTCCACCCTTTTCACTTCCCAACTTTTATACTCTCTCAGACGTACCTCACGAGAACGACAAAGGGCACTGCCAGGGAATTTTCAAAACAAGAAAATATTTCGGTTCCCCACCCCCCTTAAATAGTAGTGTTACCCACTATTCATCCTCACTTACTTCCTTCTCTCACACTTCGCTCATCGACTTCGGGACTCTTTTATCAGAAATCTGGAAACCTACTAAAATGATGTTCTTTTTCACCCCCAATAAAGTGCCTCGCACTTCTCCCACGACTTCCTCTTTTTACACACTGCACTTTCTTACCTCTGTCTCTCTTGTATAGCGTGCGAGCACAGCATTCGTCACATAAATACCTGATGATGGAGACAGTCTCTGACACGTCAGACATCAACTCCACACTAACCGCCTAAAAAGACTTCCTTATATACTGTTGCAGTGAAAGATTCACTCATATATAGAGTTTCTTTGTCTCCAAGTGAATCGTCCGATATATAATTTAACTTCTGTTCTGTGACGTAATTAATTAACGACATAGTTGGTCACTTCATTATAAATTGTCGTCGAACACCTCAGGAAGTTCCTCGTTCTTCTGTGACAGCACAATGGGGGACATGGCAATCGACACTTGTGACACCATTGTTTTGCTCTGTCCGTCTTTTGATTTATCTGCAACAGAAATGAATACAGTCATATGATTACGTGAGAGCAACTTTCCAGTATTATACTTGTTTATTTCTTCAAAAACAATTTCTTAACTGGATAGGTTGAATAGGGTCGATGAGTGGGTAGTTTTGAATTATGCCTTAACTTGAAAGATAACAAGCATGGCTTATTTTATGCGGTACTGTCCCAGTATTTTCCTGGAGAGGCTGAAGAAAACTTGAAACCCTCAGGATAGTTCGCCTCCTTGTCAGGAATTGAATGGGAATATTTTGAATATTAGGAGTAATAACCAATGAATTGCAATGTTCGATCCCATTTGCGTTAAGGATTATGTTACTTTCACTTATCATTCAGATATGACTTTGTATTCAGAGGGCGGAACATAAATTGCAGGTGTTTTAAAGTAAAGAGCTGAGGAATATATTTGAATATAAATAGAAGAATTAAACTTCTGAAGCCCAGCAGGTACCATGTGTACAACCTTCTTTAACATACTAAAACCACATTCTGCCCACACAGTGTATTTCTGTGTTTCGTGACGTTCTCACAACGTTTCTCTTAAATAGCATTAACTGGCTGGTCTTTGTAGCTCAGACATAATTTGTTTACTTTTAGATACAAAATAAATTTCTGTGTATTATTTAGAAGAAACTCGCCGATTACAGTGGCCGACCGTTCTGAAGCATGAACCGTCTTCGACCCCTCAAACACCGGGGTCGTGCGTGGGTTCGAATCCCACGCGAGGCATGGATGGCTGCGCGTTTATCCTGTGTTTGTGTAATGTGTAGGAAGAGGCCTTGCGACGGGCTGATACCCGTCAAAGGAGTCAGACCGCCTGTATGTAAAATTTAGAAACTGAAAAGCGGCTAAGGCCCAGCAAAGGGCTATAGAACCACAATAGTAGTAGTAGTAGTAGTAGTAGTAATAATAATAATAATTTATAATAAATCCAGCTCTTAAATAGTTACGAGTAAAGGAGACTGGGGGACATACGTGTAAAACTGCATTTAATATATATATTCATAGGGCAGTTCACAGTACAGTCGGAAAGTCGTGGGTTCGAGTCCTGATGAGGTGGATTTTTTCTTTTATTTACCAAATCATTCCAGCTGCCTTGGGGTCAACTCAGGCTCTAAGAGAAATGAGTACCAGGAATCTTCCTGGGGGGTAAAGGGCAGCCGGCGCATAAGGCTGACAACCTTACCACCATCTGTGAGCTGACTGTCTAGAGAAAATGTGGCTGCATCGACATTTCACAACCCTATGGGTCTTCAAGGCCTGTTGCAGTGATGGCTTTACCTTTTTACCATACGACAGGGCCCATACCTAATCTTCTCAGACACTAAATGATCCCAGACCACAAGGGTTACTACTTGCAAGGGTATGTAAGATGGTAAAGGTTAAATTGCATCAATTTGAAGGTCATATAGGGCAAGAGACGAGATAACTTCAGAGGAAATGGAAAGGTTTGCTGAGAGGAAGGGACAGTAGCGGCGTTCTGCCCAATGCTTGCCTGCGGAGGATGAGGGGATCACAGGATCCAGGCACCTCGCGAAAATAAGTGAAGCATATTACAAGCCTTAGATAATCTGCTTGTTCAGACGAGTACTGTACCGTATACATACATTCTTGAAGTGCACTCAGCTCTTTGTCAGTACCCCGAAAACAAACACATTTGAAGAGAATGCGCATAGCACGACATCGGTCTCAGTGGCTCAAACTGCTTTATAAACTTTTTCTTCGATATATTCTATATTTTTGTCAGCTCAGTCAGTATAGCGACGGTCTACTAGTCGGAGTTCGATTCCCAAAACGAGCAAGAGATTTTCTCTGCTGCATTGCATCCAGACAAGCCCTGGGGCCCACCCAGCCTCCTATCGAGGGCTCTTTCTCTGGCGTTACAGCGGCCGCTTCACAAAACTGATCATTAGGGACCTGATTTTTATGCCCTAATAATCCCTTAAATATGTATGCATTTATGCATGAAAAACTTCCGAAATATGCACATAAGAATTTATACCAAATATTAAAATTCATTTTACATTATTTTAAGACCAATGTAATGGCGCAAGGGTCATGTACATGTAGATATAGTTTTCTGGGGTAAATTTTGAATAATAGTATTTAGACTGTAAGATTAAGAAACATAAATGATGAAACGTACCAGGAAGCTTGGGTTTGCGAAGAGGTGTAACAGGCAATACCTTAGTAATCAGAATGCTAGCACGGCAGCGTAATAACGCTGACATTGAGGAAGAAGCTATATGACGTAGGTCATAAACACTGTGGCAGGAGGAAAACGCCGAGTCAGAGAAGGCAGTAGACCCAAAAGAGTCGAATCCTTCTCAATAGGCTGCCAATGAGTGGGCCACACCGACCCAAAATCACGTCAGAATGGGCGGGCCAATATACCCCGGAACACAAAGAATCAGCAAAAAGAGGGTACATAAACCCTAGAGGTATCAATCAAAAAAAATTCTGACTTTTGACTTTTTAATATTATTAAGTGCCATAGAGTTCAGCCGGAGGCTATTGCCGAGAGAGCGATGGCAATGAGTGGGCGTTGGTTGGTGATGGCGAGCGTCTGTTTCTTCAGCCAAGTAAGTGAAACCAACTTCATATAGCCATGAACAATAAGTGTGATAATTTTAAAGTGTAAACCCCAGAGAAAGATAGTGCTAACTAGATGGACTAGGTTCATTAAGAGCTACAGAGGCGCAGAATACCCGACAGCAGGGTGCCAGGCGGTAGAACTAATGAGGTGCTACAGGGTCGTCATCAAATGTATTACGAACCGACGAACGTCAGCAAAGTGTGTATATAGTATGTATATAGTGATATAGGGAAATAGAATAGGATAGGAATGTGTGTGATTTTAATTTAACCTAGCATTTCCTTAAGTGTTACCCTCTTCCCTGACGACTCCAGGACTTCCCAAAGCTTCGGCGAATTGCGAGTTAAGCCAAGACCAGTGAGTGACGTAAGCACTGATAAGTTCATTAGAGTTCTTGACATAACAAGATGGTGGCAGCTTACTAAACCGGGTGACAGCGCGGGATACCTTCACGCCCCCGTCATCGGTGTAACAGTGGAGACAGCGGTGAGATAACCAATCCACCCCTGTTGTAAGGACGTAAGGGCATAACAGTGGTGGAAGCTGTGGGGATACCTCCACGCCCCCCGACACTACGCCTTAACAACCAACAAATCAATATTTAAGTTCATTTTATGTAATCACTGAATGATTCACTTGCAATAAAAAGCTATACTTAAATACAAATCATGCAACAAAGCAAACATATTTCATTACAAATTTAAAAAACCAATGGTACTCACATTTAGCTCTCCAAACTTTCAATTTCTCTTCTGTTGCAGTTCACAGTTACTAAATGTTTTAGGTTTTCCATAGTTAGTCGCCTCCTATTGACTCGTAAGATGTCCTTATAGTGGGAAAACTTCTTTCCACCTCACAGGAACTCAGGGGCGCATGTACAAAAGCCGCTATTTGCTCCACTCATAAGTGATTTTTTTACTTGGCTGTTTAGTACGTTTACCAGCTAAAATTTCTTCAATTTCACAAATCTGTTCATATCCTGGATTTTTTAAAGAATGCTGTGTACTTTTTCCTTTACCAGTTCACCAACTCTTCCAGGAACCGAATTCAATTTGGAAACACTGGTTTTGAACACAACGACTGATACAAAGTAGTATTGCTATTGCTTGCCTCCAATGAGGAAATGGCGGATGGAAGATGAGAGAAGTGAGCAGATATATAGGAAAGATTCGTTTCTAGTTCTGCGTTTTTAGTACATCTTGGGCAATTTGAATTGGTGCTGCACGCCGAATGGCGTCTTCAGTAACTAAACAGTAACTTAATATTCTCTTTGTGTATATTAGTGTTGAAATGCTGAAGCACTTGAAAACGTTTTTCACAACTAACTGTTTTTTCACACGCTCTGCAATAAAAAAATTCGTTATCCATACTTATCATCTCTCCTTCGAACTCCCGGTGATACAGCTGTAATTTAGTGTTCTGACTTACTTTCACTTTCGGCATGACTATAGAAAGCTGAACAAACTTAACTACAGACTAGTCACCACTAACGTGAATGGCCCCCAGCTTCAAATGAAGAAGCATAATGAACCTCGTGGAGACTTCGGAAATAAATAAGTGAAGTCCCTTATCGGTTGAATAGTATTATGTTGATAGTGGCTACATGTGAACGCTTCCGACTAATCTCTTCGCGGCCATTTTGATGGTATGTGGATGAGGCAAATTACGAGTAGAGGGATCGGGGAAGTCCCGTCCTGTGTATTTCATCAGAAACATGAATCATGACGAAATGTTGAGTCAAATATGCAACATATTCTAATACGGAAAAGAAAAATTGTATACACACGACCATGATTGAAAATTTGAACATACAATTAAAAAATATACATTGTGACGTGGACGGCGCAACGCTTGGTAAACACCCCCCCCCTACAGCGGTGACGTAACATTATCGGAGCAACTGCCTCTGCTAAGATAACAGGCCAGTCAACATTCCATCCCTCTCCCCCGCGGTGACGTAACAGGGGACACCACAGTTATTACGCAGCAATAAACAACTCTCGGCAACGTTCCCCAACAATGCCTATAAACATGGTGTTTATGCAACAGTGAAAGCTATCACGTAACTGTTTTCTGTGTTGTCAGTGCGGAAGCTACGTAACATGAATATTCGTCAGTGAGAGAGAGTAACCAGTCAGTTGCAGTCTAGCATTCGCCGGAGTGAATGGAAACAGTAGAAGTAATTGTGATACTGCAGATGGCAGTAGTTGTGAGATTGTAAATGTAAGAGCGAGTGAAGTATCCAGAACGGCGTGAAGTTATTTGTTGCGTGACGTACCCAACACGTGGCAATATGATAAACATTTTAAAAAGGAAATATGCAGTATAAATAGAGATCTTCGAATATATGATGCTTATTGATAAAACAGGCAAAATATGCATTTATATGCACCATCAAACCATGTCCAAAATTTAAGAAATTAAGTAATTCGTATCCAAACGAGCATACTTTCTGGTTGCAAGAAAGAACTATGCATTTGCATCTGGTTCCTACTGATCATTCGCCTCCATTTAGTGCGGAGGTCAAGAATGCGTTGAGCTATAACTCCACTCCCCATACGCCTTCATGGCGTGGTGCTTAATTAAACACAGGGAAAGCTTCACCTCTGCTTTATTTTTACTGTACATTTATCGAAATAGATTATATTGAAAACTTTACTTAACACATCATACAAGACGCCATACTAATTTGTAAAAAAAAAAAATCCTTTGTGAGAGATTGGATTTCGCTTTATTAAAATTTCTAATACTCAAATAGAATTTAAAAAACTCTTAATCCAATATGGTGTTAATACATGCTTGCTGATAAAGAGACATCTGAAAATAATCAGGTCACTGCCCGTGAGATATAGGCGTATGACTGGATAAAGGCAGCAGAAGTGTGAAGCCGTTCATTTAGTTCAGACTAAGAAATAGTGAAGTCTGATCCCATTAATGTTGGATGTGTTCTACGTAGGTTACTAAATGTCATAGTCTGAAATAAGTAAGTTTTGCTGGTGTCTTCTTCCTGAACTGACAGTCACAAAATTACTGGACTTCAGCCCATGCTTTGCACTCCCGAACTTAGGCCCTAATGACGTTTCAGCACACGTTGACCCACTTACACGCGGCCGGGATGTTACAGGAGCTAATCCTTGAGGCGGTATTAGTGGTGTTGTCAGCGGACCTAACATGGTGACGTATATTAATCAGGTTTCAGTGTGGAGTGGGAGCCGGGATGGCGTACTCGGTATCTGTCGGTATTGAGGCTGGCTATAGGCTGGACTACCAAGGGATCGGAGTTCGAGTCCTGATAGGTTCAAGAATTTTCTCTTCTCCAAGTCATTCAGACCGGCTCTGGGTTCCACCCAACCTCCTGTACCGGGGGTAAAAAGGCCGGGACTTGAAGCTGACCACTCGCCTCCAACTAGTGCAAAGGTCAAAAAAATGTGGCTCTATATATCCATTCCCACATACGCCTTCATGGCGTAGTGCTTAATTAGTTAAGCACGGGGACAACTTTACCTTTACCTTCAGCGTGGTGTATCTCTTTGCTCTTTGTACTCCCCACCATTACATAGAAAGAAAAGAAACCGTAAGAGGTTAAACAGGTCTAGTTTTTCCTTGCGAACTCGGAATTTACTTTCGTTTCATTTTCACATACTCATATTCATTACGAATCAAGGGAAAATACTATATTCTACATTGGGTTGTAAAGTCCTAGAATTTCATTCGGTTTAAGCCGGTCACAGTGGCCACGTGGTCTAAGGCATGGACTGTCTTCGCTCGCTGGAACGCTGGGACCGTTGGTTCGAATCCCACTCCAAGCATGGATGTGTGTGTTTATTCTGTGTTTGTGTTGTCCTGTGTGTAGGTTTCGGCCTTGGGACGGGCTGATCCTCCATCCAAGGAGTTCTACTGTATGTGCAGAAAATATTATGAAACTGAAGAAGAGGCTAGGGCCCAACAAAAGGCTGTAGAGCCATTGACGAATGAATGAATGAATGAATGAATGAATGAATGAATGAACAAATGGACTTTGATTTTAAAACATAATTCAAACGAATTTGAATAGTTTTTCGTTTAGCACGGGTTGTTAAAAGTAAAGGTAAAGTTATCACTGTGGTTAATTATTTAAGCATTATGGCAAGAGGTATGGGGGAATGTAGGTACAGTTTCACCACAACACGGGTCGTCATATTCCTGTTGCTCGCTCCGGAGTACAGGGCATCCGTGAAACGCTTTGTTTTATTTCAGTTCCTTAATCTTGTTGATAGTCGGTAGGACTCCTTGGACGGGGGATCGGCCTGTCGCAAGGCCGCTACCTGCACAGGGCAACACAAACGCAGAATAAAAGTACACAAACATCCATGCCTTGAGTGGGATTGATTCGAAACTACGATCCCAGTCTTCAAGAGGGCAAAGACAAGCCATTCTATAAACCGCGAGGCCACTAGGATTGAGTTAGCATGGGCACTTACAGATAAATATTGCCCAGTACAGACCCATTCTTTAGGAAGGAATTCGTCTAATGTTTCTCAATATTTTATTTACGTTTATTAGTTTAACAAGTTTCATTCATTTACAGATGGAGAAACCTTCTGGATTTTCAAATTTCAACTACAGGGTCCCATAATATAATTTAAAGTAATCCCATAACATGACAGAAATTAATGGCCATGTTCAGAAATGTATAAAATATATACAATACACACAATGAGGCCAAGACTGGAGTCAGTACACTAACCTGCAGCATGGATGGAAACCTGCACAAAGTCAACAAAGTTATGGGATAATTTACGCTTATAGCATAAGAAAAATATGTTACACACAGTCATTTGAAGCTGTGCAGCAAACTCATCTCCCAGCTGAACCACTTGCATGCAAGGTGCATGCAGAAACAGGCTACTACTGCTGGCTTGTACTGGAGACACGTGGTGGTCAGACATGGGCTGGAAAAAAAGAAAAAAATAAACAGCTATCAGTATAACAATATTACACCCACACCTCACAGACAATGTAAACTGCATATACAGCATAATTCCCCATCACCAATTCAATGACAGAAGTGCTCACTGTATCTCTGGCTCAAACGTATTTGTACATGACCAGTGAAATGCTGTTTGACTTTCCTGAGGCAAAATGACTGAAAAATGTGGAATGAATTAGAGAGCATAAAGTATGATATGTTACACAACAGAGAACATACGCCCTCAATTTTAGCCAACGACTAACCTCTTGAGCTATGGCGTGGCCCATTTTAGCTCTTAGTAACTGTCACAATTAAAAGCCTCCATTCAACCCAAAACACTTATGGTATGCATGCTAGGTGATTCGGATGAGTGAAAGCTGAAAAGTGGCAACATGAACATAGTGCCTTACCTGTACGCCACCTTTGCTACATCCTTGCTGGCTGTGGGTTTGTTCTGGCAATTCGAAGCATAAGGCCTATGCACATACACTCGATCACTGCCTGGCAAGTAGCCACCGGGAACAGAAAGCATTGAATCATATGAAGTGCATATGCACACAGTCATCTATTAACTATGATGTCCAAACACCGGGAGGTGTTCCCACTTTAATTTAGCCACATCAACATGCAGGAACAACTTCCAGGTGGACGCTGTTGCTGTATATACAGCAGTGAACACCGCAGGAAACCAACATATTTATTATAAAGAAAATAATAAATGATATTGTAGCGTGTTTGTGTGTCACGCTACAAATAAGTTGACGCCGTCGTCTCAATATAGCGAATTTATTCCTTTCGCTCACATTACACACTTTACAACCATCTGCACTTGCAGTGCTACAATCACTGCTCACAATATTCCGGCGATACTGGACCCAGACGGATATTCCAAACTGACTTCTTAGACGTGCGATCCGAAGCTTTCTTCTGCGGAGACTATTCCGATACTCTTCTTCGAAGACTATTCCGAGACTGACTGTTTCTCGCTGAAGCTGGGCTATTTATAACCTTGCCCGCTGTTAGGCAACGAACCTTCTGTTATAACCATGGAGACTCCTGTTAGAATTACCATGGAGCAATTGTTGTCTCCCCCGTAACGGTCTATTGTAGCGTTTCCATAGAAGTTACTCCTCGGGTTTGCCGACACGTTACAATATAAACTCCGTCTCAAGTGCAAACAATATATTCTGTGTCTTTGATCTTGCTCCCTACACTACATGTTTCGGCCTCGGACGGCCATCATCAGGTGTATAACACTCACATCGCTGTCACACTGCACCCAGTTCAAAATTTAACATCTAAAACCCTCTCCCTGTCATTATCAACTTCTACTTCGTTGATAGCTGTCCACCCGTAGATTACTTCACACACATTAATTTTGACTTTATTGTAATAGCACCCTAATAAAATCTTTAGTTCTAATTTTAAACCTTTAAATTCTTGTCCAAATTTTAAAATTTTAAAATTGTTAGGGTTATTTGCCCTGTGTTTGAAGTGCTGCAGCGGCTAGTTCTTGTTTCCACACTGTATAGGTGTTATCTGTAATATACAAATATATTTGTATTACCATCTTATGTATGTGGTGTTTTCTTATGTGTGTATATTGTTATTTGTACTTACCCTGTGTAGTCTTTCTGTGTGCGTGCCGCGTGCCGCACACACAATGACTCTCCTTTTCTTCCTTGGCCTCCACAGGACCCTGACTTTCAAACACAAGTGAATATGAATAATAGAGTAACGAAAGGTCAGTGAGTTACTGTGTAACTTCCTGAAAATTTGTGATTTTGGAGGGAGAATGGAAAAGTATAGACTAGGAGTCTGAAGTGTCTAAATCGAATTCTAAGACTTGACCTAGGTAACATAAAAGGCACAATAGATCATTGAAGACTGAAGGTCACGGTGCAAAGACCAGCAGTTGGGCACATCCCTTATGTATTACTACTACTACCAGACAAACATCAATACTATGACATATCGACCCACTGCTAGGCCACTCAGTGGTAAGACGTCATACATCAATAGGCAGGTTGTGTTTCTGCTGTGGTCCATGCCAAATGGTTATAAAGGACAACAGAAGAAGTGTTTTCTATGTGGTCCGCACCATGCCCAGTGCTAGGCAGAGGGCCAATAGACACGCATAGACATGACACATGCTTTGAGTGCTGTGAGGTCCGTGCTGCAAATCTATAAGGAAGACAGTTTGAAGGACGTCAGAAACAAGAGAATGGGAATACAACGGATTACAACAGAGGGTACGAGAATGAGAATTCAGTCAGCTGTTGGTAGGACTTGCCACAGGAAGTTAGTAGTTAAAGAACAATTAGAAGTAAACATGTCAAGATTTAGTATGTGATTTAATCACAGTGAGACTGCTTTAATTCCATTACCAGGATATGACTACTGAAGACTTAGAATCCTAGTGCATGTTTAATGGTCAACTGTAAAGTTGTCCCTGTGCTTAACTAATTAAGCAGTATCCCATGAAGGCATATGTGGAAATGGATGTATAGACCCATATTTTCTTGACCTTGGCACTAGCTGGAAGTGAGAGGACAGCTTCATGCCCCGGCCACTTTACCCCAGGGGAAAGATCCCCTGGTAGTTATTGGATAGGGGGCTAGGTGGGCCCAGAGCTGGTCTGGATGATGGGGAGAGAAAATTCTTGACCCTTCCCAAACTCGAACTCAAATCCCTCTGTCATCCACCTCGTAGCCAGTCGCTATACCGACTATTTAAATCAGTGTTAGTGCCATATTGCTTGTTAAGTATGAGCTCACTGTATAAGGCATTAAAAAATCTATTCACCAATCCAAACCCCATCTATAGTCACTAATACACATGACAATATCTAGTAACTTAGAAATAACAACAAATGTGTGCATTAAGACTGGTACTTTCAACTAAAAAAATTTTTTTCATGTAAAATTAAGTCTAATCTGATCAAACATTATATTCTATTAACTTTTCTTATTTATTTTCTGTTTTAACAAACTTCCGCTTAGGGTACAGAATGTTTTAACTGTGCTGTATATAACATCTCATGATGAATGTTTATTGTCAAAACATGTGGTGTGTAGTTATAAGCAAGGAATAAGGAACTATTTCAGCTTAAGTGTGTGCACCAACTACTCCCAGACTTTAAAAACTTCTCCTTGGCATTTTGCTCTCAGATCCTTGCAACCTAAGGGCTTCCTCCTAGGTGGAATCCTATATAAAAACAAGTAAAATTACAGTTGTGTATGTATTTTTAGACAAGAGACGGGAATACAGAAGATTCATGCCTTCTCCAAATTCAGTCTGATCTCTACTTATTTTCCTATAAAATTCTGGGTCCTGGAATAAGTAAATTTTGCTACAGTTTCTAAGGATATATTTGGCATCTTTGGTAATAAGACATGAATATAAGCTTACTTTTCCCTGGAGTGCAATAAAATAGCCTGACAAACTGAGTTATCATAGTAGACTCAATATTTGAACTCGGGTATCTATTAATAAAAGATGAGAATTTTGGAGTCAACCTGATATGCATAACACAGAAGAACAAGTCATGAAACAATAAGCGTAATTACAGGAGGGGCAGGGGGAAATAAAGGCAATGGTGAGTGTGAAGATAAGCACAGAGGATGGAAAGACAAGAGAGCAGAAACAACCTAGGAAAGAAGAAACATCCATGAATTGTGATGCTGCTGATAATCACATCACTACCACATGAATGCAAAAGTGAGGATAAGAAATAGCCATTATTTATTATCTTTAATTGTCCTGATGTTCATTGCCACAATAAAATAAAGATTCAAAGTGTGTTGTATTTCTTTACACCAAACATAGTGCCTATACATGCCATTAAGGTATAAAAATATTCTGCATATTAATTCCATATGATGATGTTCACAACACCTACAATATAATCCAGCTTTTCAAGTAGCCTTGTTAGATACATATGTATGTACCTCATCTTTCTCTAGTGACATCAAGACACTTACCTCTAACTAGATGAAAGAGGCGCACAACATGTGTGTGCGGATGATCTACAGACACTTCAAAACCAAGTGTCTGTAGTAGAATGCTTTCATTCAATGTCAGATTCCTCACTTGAGCCACGTACATCTGTAAGACAATATGCAATATCAGTAAAGATTCTTAGACATTTTATAGGTTTTGAGATTGCAATAAATAAATAAATGTAATGGGTTTCTGCTGGAGAGAAGGGAAAGATTCGGCAAGATTTTCACTTTTCATACTTTTTTACAGACAGGCTGTATTTAACTATGGCCATATAATGGAAACACTGGACACATTACAACAGAACCTCTATGATATCGGTTCACCTAAAGAATATCCCCTCCCCCCAGTATGCCATTCATTCACCAACTTCATAAAAAGTCTCATATAAAATGTTACCAGCTTTAATGGGATGCAATTTACATAACACCGGGAATTACTCCAAGAAATATTGTTACTGTTGTTTTGGTTTAAATGGGACATCTGTGGATAGTACAGATATGCATCTTTATTTTGCAGCTCATGAAGAATGAAGCTGAGAACAGCAGAACTGAGTGAAGGAGCAAGATGTCAAGGACTCCTGTCAGTGAAATGATATCCTGCATAAGGCTGTGTCACAACATCTGCAATCACATGTCTTCTAAGTCAAAGTTAAATTCAGAATTTGCAGTCACCTTTACAGTTACGAACATGAGTAAGTTAAGTGTTATCTAAAGTGGTAACACTTCTGAGTTGTATTCAGAAGAGCCATGGTTTGAATTCTGGCCAAGGCACTGACTACCCTGACTGGCTGAGGATTTCTTGTGGCTTTCCTCACTCCCTTCAGGCAAAAGTTGGGGCAGTAACTTAAATTTACCATGACCACTTCCATCCACATGTGTTCCAATCATTATTCACTACCACCTAATCATCTGATGCAGTTTAGTCTGATTTACTGTCATTGAAATACAAATGAAAATGAATAGGAATGGAAAAACTTCCAGTTTCAAATACAGGCAGATGGTGAGACAGCACCTCATACTAGACCACAACTGCCTCTACATAGTCTGAAATTCACTAACCTCTGATTCTGTGTCCAGCAAAAGCTGGCCTGGTTTGAGGCATCTGTGTTGTGCCTTTACTACCTCCTCCATCGGCCTTGGTCCATTCTCCACCTTGCACGCCAGGAACAGCTCACCATGATGGAAGACAGTGAATGGGTGGAGAACGTAAAATTTGTGCATATACACAATGCTGTACTGAACAACAAGTGAAGGAGAAACAATACAACTGAATCCTACTGAACAAGTGACTGATTCATACATTCTATCATACTAATGAGAAAAACAGACACACAGAACATAAATTCATGCACTTCATCTCTCCAACATTACAATCTCATATTAGACATCACATGCAGATTCGGTTGCTTTATATAACACAACGCTCTAAAGTGAACTGCATAAGAACTTATCAGAGGCAGAAATTTCTCAGACACAGAAAAAATGAATGCCCTCGTTTAGCAGCGTGCTATTCCTTATATCTCTTAAGCGGAGTAGACTCATCAGAGGGATATACAAACCTGACTCATGACACTCTACCCAACAATCATTATCACATCGTTGTATATTAATATAAGGAAACATGTTCTGCTCTACTGATCTGTAATGAAATGTGGTTATAAAATTTGACATCTCTCCCTCTTATCTCTAATAAGAAATACTCTGTCAACCAGTAAACTCTCCATATTAGATTTCATGTTGCAGCCAAAACAGGAGAAAAAAGTGTGTTACATTAAGAAGCATGAACTAACATAATGAGCATGCTCTTCTCTCTTCCATATTATATCATTATAGCTGCACTTTCACAGGAGTTTCTTCACTGTATGCAGCATATGTTTTTTTTTTTAGATATAAACATGTTATGGGTTTGTTAAGGTTCTTACTGAACTCTGAAACTAATGAATGGTGGTCCCTAGGAGCATCATACTGAGTGATCTCATACAAGACTTATCTTTTATAAGATTGCCCACATAGGATGTTCATCAAGTAATAACAGATGGAGAAGTTTAATTGTTATGAACATGAGTCACTGTCAATGTTCAATCAAATTTCCATTACATTCTACCTTTTTTATTTCCAAACATTTACAGGCATTTCTTATTCCAAGAAGGGCTTGTACCAAGAAACACAAACTGGATCTCACTTATATCTTTGTTATTCCACAAGAAGCCATGTGGATACCATTACTAATGAACACCACAGAAACGAGCCCTTCTGGATAAGCTAACAATCACTCTGCTATTCAAGAATTTCCCACCATTTTCACACAAGCCTGCCACTAGTGCCTGTCCTCAGAGATGAATACAGTCCATACCACTCGTGATAATATATTCACGGAGAGTTGCAGGTTATAACACATTTACACAGTGCTTAAGGTGGAATGAAAATAGAACCGGGATGGTTTTCCCCTTTTAATTCATAGACATAAATTATGAAATTATACCGAGTGATGTATATAGTCTGTGTTCCATCTAAGACCTACGAACATATTACAGTAGTTTAAATGGCATGGGTTAAAATAAAAGTCACACATGCATTACGAGTGCTTATCTGCTTATCTTTAGAATAATTTCCAGATGTTTTCATTGCTTTCTGAAGTCACTGATCTTCTATCTGCGGGGGCTGCATAAGACTGGTAATCTGCATGTCGACATCCTTTCTTTAGCCATTGTTTTACATAATATTCTGCATTGAAAGCACTAAGAGGGGGTCCCACTGATGAAATAAACATTAAACTAGATGCTGTTTTTAAAAGCATCGCGCTTCGGATGGTTGAAATAATGTTGTTCATGTTGCTGAATGCACGCTCACACTCTGCAGTTGAAATAATAATAGTATTTGCAGCTGCAATCAACGGCTTTAGTTCATCAGGATACATGTCGTCACCATTCATTATATTCATGTAATATTCATGGAATCCATGAACTGAAGTTTTCTTACACACCATAAATGACTCAGCGAGTTCCCTAATCTCTTTATCAGCAAAACATGGATCTTGACATTTTACCCACTTAGCCTTATCCATTATTTTCAAGTTGTCCAGTAACTGACTGTATTTGCCCCTATTTGACCATGTGTTACTACTTCCAGTCGATTCGTGTGAAGCTCTAGTGGTGAACATTTGGGTATTTATATTGTCACTTAATTTCTGAAAGAATTGTTGTTCACTAATCTTCTGCACTTTTCCATGTTCTAAGCTAACTCCTTTAAATTCTAATTTATCAGCAGCCGTTAGAACTTCAGAATAATATTCACCTGGATTATTTGCCATGGACTGAAAGACGTGATACTTAACAAGAACTAAATGATGTGCTTCAGGCAATGTGATTTTCTTTTCTTGTAATTTTAAAGACAGGTGTTCAAGTTCTGTTAAAGCATCGAACAGAAGTCCCATATTTAGAACAAAGTTTACGTCGCTTAGTTTTCTTTTCAATCCAGAATATTGAGCTCTCTCCCTTCCCGTGTGTTTTGGGTCTACAGACTTATTGTGAAAATGCTTATAAAGAGCAGGGTAATTATTCCATATGGCTCTCACATACCGCGCACTAGACAATACCCAACGTGTCGTTCCTAACACTCGTCCTATGGTATTTAATCTCATACTCAGTTGTGCAGCAACAGTTTCTAATTCAGATTTGTTCTTTGGAGACACGCTGTAAACGGAATAGAGTTTATCAAAAAATGATTGCATGTGGCACACTGTTGACATTTCCTGTACTGTATCATTCACCGCTATTTCTAATCGATGATTACTACAATGCCAAACAATCAATTGAGGATACATTTGGAGCAAAAGTTGTGCAACACCTGCATGCCTTCCAAGTAAATTAGAGGCCCCACCACAAGCAAATGAAATCCAATTTCATGATAGAAAGTCACTGTGAAATCCATTACTCTTAATATTGTTGAGAAAGGCGTCCCTGATCGTTGCAGCTGTAGTATTTTCTAATTCCACTATATCAAAAAAATAACTACTCGCATCCATGGAATCAGGCAGTTTGCAACGTAAACAGATTACAAGAGCTTCTTTTTTACTTCGAGTAGAAGTCTCATCGATCATGAAACCTATCTTAAGATCATTATCAATAATATATTTAACAAGTTTCTTTCTCATTTCATCTGCTATATGATCACAAATATCAGTGCACGCATGATTAGACTGCAAGATACGCCCCATAGCTAAACCATTTAGTTCTTGTAAATCAATCAAAGCTGCTAAATCTGTCATGGGACGGTTCACTTTCGCTATTTGATAAGCTGTCCTAAATATGCGACAAGTTGTAACGTATTGTTTTTCTTGTGTTTTAACATTCAGACATTCAATTGTTTCTTTTTTAGCAAGGCATAAAATGTCACTAGCTTTAACATGAGCTGCCGATAGTTTATGACAAGACAGTTTCTTCCTAATCGACTGTTGTTTCTTCTCTTTTGTTTCACCATATTCCTTGACCCTACCTTCACACCACTCACTAGATAATTTCAAACCTTGTGTTTTTGCAGGCCCTAGAGTTCCCACTGATTTACATGTTGTACAGCCTAGCCCTTGTTTACTAATTGTCAACCACTCGTATATTTTCAATTTTTTTAGCCATTGATCTTGTGTCCAGTAATTAGGGAAATAATTAACGTCATTTTCATGCACCTGATTTTGAGTCACGCTGTTATCTATTGCAGCTGTATTCACACATACGGTGGTTTCGTCTTCGTTGCAGTGGATGGAACTTACAATTGTTTCACTTTTACTTACAGTTGCACACGGTTCATTACTGCCACTTTCACTTAACTTGGGTTTCTTACTGCGAATTATCCATTTCTCCATTTTCACCGATAAATGAAAACTGATGCTGAACTAAAATAACATTTCGTACAGTTTCTGTCATTGAAGCAAGGATCAACCCAAGGACGCCCCCCACTAAAATTTATGGCTAAATTCCCATTGGTTGGAATAGAATAAAATATGTGTGTCCTTACGGCTGGGACGTGTCATCAACAACAGAAACTTCTGTGATTGTTTACTGTAAACGTCTGACCCATCGCTTAAATGGGATGGGTTCTCACATTATTCTACAAGTTTATATATGTATTACCGGATGTGAGAATACAGCCTGTACCCGTCATAACT